TGCCGCGGTTTGCTGGCTGGACCTAACCTCTAGACAACAGAGTCTGTTGAATCTGCACTAAGGTAAATGTGGAGGAACCGGGTGCATTCATTACATTTACCAAATCCCACCCGGGGATTTCAGCGAAAGAAAGTACTGAAATTGAACTTGAACTCCTCGGGCAAGCCGTACTCTGGAGGTGAGAGATTCATGTTCTTAAGCTCATAGTATATTGGGAAGCACTGTAGTAATGTGCCTGCAAAGAACGACAGTCAACTAAATGTGTACACTGTTACCAACACACATCGCTTCGTTAGAAAGTCCAGCCTCTAACAGAACACTTCTATCATAAACACTCCACTCTTCATCACCAACAAGCAGGCCCGTAACTCTTTGAGTCCCAGAGGGTTTAGCATCACAGGCCCCAGGGGTAGTCAAGAGCGACGTAAAATCGGCACATTATGTGTTCATTGGGATTCTAGGCAGTAACCTATGAACGTATGATGCGTTCCTTGGGACTCAAATAGTTAAGGGGTCAGTACACCAAATTGTTTTTGTTTCATTTACAATGTTAGACCAACTATTTTATGATGGTCATTTGTAGGGATATATGTTATACATTTGCACACTTTAAGTTTTACAAAAATCATAGTTGCCATGGCAACAGCCGCCATCTTGGAGGGGGGAAACACATGTAAGAATATTAAAATTTCAAAAACAAACATATGTATTGAAAAATAGATGATGGATTCATGAACTTTAATCCTATGTTGATCTACAGGTATAATTTATCTACTTTAATGGTGTTTCTAAATATTTTTTTTTTTTTTTTAGAATTTTACAATGTAGGTTTTTTTAGAATTTTAAAATGTTGCATTCTACGAATGCCGAACTTTACAAAAACGAACACATAAAAAAAAAGTTATATTTTTGTCATATATTGAAAGTAAAATGTCATGCAGTGACCCCTTAATAGAACGTCGCTCTTGTTACATCACGCCTGATAGTCTCTCTTTGTCTAGCCCATATCAGCTTTCTTGCCAATGCATCTTTAAAGTCTTGTATCCACATTCGCAGAGGTCTGCCTCTGTCTTGTTTTCTGGAAACTGCTCCCTCTGTCACCCTTCTCTCCAGGCCACAATGACATTTAACATGGCCAAAATAGCTCAGCTTTCAGGATAGGATGCTGTTTATGAGCCAATTCTCCTCCATGCTTAGATCACATAGGATGTCAGTGTTTTTCTTCTTCTTAGTCCATGGTATTTGAAGAATTATTCTGTAGCATTTCAGATCAAAAGCTCCATCCTTTTAACTTCAATGATCGAGTAAAAGTACATGACCCACATCCATAAATTGCCGCAGAAAAGATGCATGATCTCAGAATTTTTACTTTAACCCACTTGCAGATGCTGTGCCATAGGTTATTTATGCTTTTTGAGTCTCTGCGTTGCTGAAGCGAACCTTCTTCTGTGTAATCGTCCTTGTTGCTCACTTCTTCTTCTGCAGCATTCCAAGCCCTTGAGGTTCACTGCTGCAGATATCACCCGCCTGCATTCATATCTCTGGTTAGCCTTCTCTTTCCAGTTAGTGACACCAAGGGTTTGCAGGTCTGTCTTGATATTATCTCTCCATCATCTTCTTGGTCTGCCTCATGGTCTACAACCATTCATCTCCCTCGTGTATACATTTTTTTGCTGCTCACTACTGAGCCTAAATATTCTAAATCTGTGACATTTTCCTAAACATATAATTTATTTTATAATTTACATTTTTTTTTTTGTGTTTTTTTTTTTTTTTTTAAATTTAATTTTATGTACATTTGTTTTATCTTTTTATTTCTTTTAGTTACCTCACTCAGCTATGAGAAACTAACTTCTACCAATTAATTCTTTAATTACAAACTTTCTTCTTCTTCTTTTGTTCACTTCAAATGGATTATCTATATCTGCAAATGCTGTCTCTGCTATGAACTTCACTGTTTTTTTGTTTGTTTGTTGTAATTCACCTGTAAAGTTTGACTTGCACCGGTGTTTCTCTTGACCGAAAGTTTTGCCTTGCTATGTTGTATTTGTACCTCACTTCTGCAGTTTATTTCTGTGATAAAGAAACTTTAAAATAAAAAAAAACTAATTCTTTAATTCCATAGAGTATTTTTGTCATTAGAAACTCACATTCTAAAGAGTAATTCTATTTTAGTTGTTGTTTTTTAAAATTTCCATTCTTCGTGGTAATTTCTTCAAAGGAAACTTTAATTTTATTTTTGTAATTATGCCAACAGAAACTTCTATACAGTGTTTCTTGATTAAAAACTCTCATTTGATAGTTTTATCACTGGAATAATTTTATAATTTCAACCCGCTCACCATAGAAACACTAACATGGGGTGGGGGTATCATGGAATTTTTACACAGGTTACTAATAAACTAATAAAAATTTTCTACATTTAAATATATGTGTATTTTTGGGGGGAAATATATAAAGATATCTAGAGGAAGCAATTAATAAACATGAACAGGGTGAAGCATTAAATGGAATACATTCTCCGGGACCTAAAAAACATAAATCTGGAAGTTTCTGCGGTGACCCCCTGACCTTAATCACTAAGGCCAAGAAAAGTTTGATGCACCTATTTCACTATTTTCTAAATGCTATTTTTAGTTAATTTATGGATATATGTTTGCACAGGCACAAAATAGCCAGTAGCATTAACTATGCTATTGAACAGGTCACCATAGAGAAGTCAGCAAAATTACATTTACAGTAAAATGGAACCAATCAGAAATGTTGGTTTTGCAGTTTCTCAGGGTGAAACATCTATTTAGTAGCTAGCAACAGAAACTAACTTTCTACTGAGTAACACTATCATCATAAATATTTTTGAAAGATAATTATACAAAACCCTTCAGGTCAATAATTAGAAAACAGCAAAGTAGGCAGACTAAGAATACCTACCAACTCTCTAGCAACTGACACATCGGCAACCGGGTCATCCACAAACTCGCCGGTAGATGAATTCGTCCCCGGTCAAGAAAGCATTTGAGTCTGTCTCCTTTGACTGTACCAACACTGCAGAAGTCCTTTTCAGGGCTCTTCTTCCTGTGCAATGCTATGCCATTTTATATGGCCAATATTACCTAGTTCACAATTATATATTTTTTGGGGGTGGGGGGGGGGTGGGGGGGTGCAGCAAAGCACCTGCCTACCTTCTAGCAACAGCTCAACAAAGTGACATTAAATCCTTGCTGCTGTTTACTTTCAGACAGTGGTGTTATACTGTGCTGTGCAGAGGCACAGGCCTCCCAGCCCATGGTGATGGTGGGTGTGACTAGCGAAACCCAAACACCGTAAGAAATGACCAAAATTTTGAGTATAGTATTTCAGGACCGTTGTTGCTGTCACATGTATTTAGTGTGGCTCTGCTTCGATGCTCAGCTCTCATCCGTTTCTGCAATCCTTTTTTTTCTCCCATTCATTCTCATTCCCTTCCACAGTCTGTGGCACTCCCCTCACCCCCCATGAATCTACCTCAATATCTGTATCATCCATATTCCGCTTGCACACATCTTTATTTCATCAAAACCAATTAAGGCCTCATTAAATATAATCACAATGAATGTAAGAACACCCACTCACCAAAGCCAAACAGAGCCACAAAAAGGACAATAGTCAGCCAGACCATCACTTTGGTGATCCAGCGAAGCAGTACAATCCACAACATAGCTATTGCCATGGCGATGCCAATACAGCTTTAGAAACATAAAGCAAGAAATTCTTGTCAAGTTTTTACCACAGATCTGCTGTGCTATAATAACAATGTGGTAAATGTTTTTAAACAGTGCAATAATAAGCCGCTTCAGTTTAGTGGCTCACTTGAGGATCCAAAGATCATGACTTCTAATCCACAAAAAAAGAGCTTAGCTCCCAGATTGACCAAGCTTTAAATGGGCACCAGGTAAAGTCCTGGAAAGTAAAGGCGGCCATGTGTTTTGGCCACATCAGAGACTGAGGTCCAATTAGTCTTATTAAAAAATACGAGTCTAGCCTCATATCCCTAATATAAAGAGATCTTTACTATCTTTATCAAATGTTTAAACTTTCCTATAATTAGCTATAGTAGATATTGTTATAATATTATAATTATGCGACAACTGTAGTGTTCAAGCTACTTCCCAACTGTGCTACAACTGTAGTGTCCAAGCAACTTTCAAGTGCTACAACTGTAGTGTCCTAAGCTACTAACTGTGCTACAACTGTAGTGTCCAAGCTACTATCCATCTTTACTACAACTGTAGCGTCTAAGCTACTTTCCAACTGTACTACAACTGTAGTGTCCAAGCTACTTTTTAACTGAGCTACAAATGTAGTGTCCAAGCTACTCTCTAACTGTGCTACAAGGGTAGTGTCCAAGCTACTTTCTAACTGTTCTACAACTGTAGTGTCCAAGCTACTTTCTAAAAGTGTTCTACAACTGTAGTGTCCTAAGCTACTGTATAACTGTGCTACAACTGTAGTATCCAAGCTACTTTCTATCTGTGCTACAACTGAGGCTACTTTCTGTGCTACAATGATACTTTCTAACTATTTACAACCCGGCTACAGCTTCTAATGTAGTATCCAAGCTACTTTATAGCTATTTACAACCGGGCTACAACTTCTAACGTAGAATCCAAGCTACTTTCTAACTTCACACAGACAAAATTACAAAAACTACGAGCTGTGCTACAACTGCAGTATGGAAGCTACTTTCTAACTGAGCTACAACTGCAGCATACAAGTTACTTTCAAATTGTACTGCAACTATATATGAAATCCACATTCTAAATGTACTACAGCTGTAGTGAATCTACATTCTTCTTTTTCTTTTGTCATCTCACTGATACCAGGTTGCAGCTCTTTGTCGTGGTTTTCTGTATGTCTTGTGTTTCTCAGGTGGCTTTGGAAGCGGATTTGTTTTTCTTTTTGCAGGTTTCAGCCACACCATCTATCCCTCTCTTTCTTGGTATTCCCCATGCCTTCCTCCCAGATGTTCAGCTGTAACAAAATCTCATATGCAGTTTGGTCTGGCTGCATTCTCACTAGATGGCTGATACGTTTCAATTTCTGTCTGTCAATATAATTGACACAGTCTTAAACCATCTCTCTAATGCTGGTATTCGTAACCCTGTCTCTTCTTGTGCTGTTACTAACCTTACAGAGACAGTGCATTTCACAGGTATTTATTTTATGTTCTAGTGCCAAATTCATTCATCTACATTCTGAGCTACAAATGCAGTATAGAGGCCACTATCTAACTGTGCTGCAACTGTGATATGGAAGCTACTTGCTGCAATTGTGTAGAATCTACATTCTAAATGTACTTCAACTGTAGTGTGGAATCTACATTCTAAATCTGCTTCAACTGTAATGTGGAATCTACATTCTAAATGTACTTCAACTATAGTGTGGAATCTAAATTCTAACTGCTAAAACTGTAGTAAGGAAGCTACTTTCTAACTGAGCTACAACTACAGTGTAGAAGCCACTTTCAAACTATGCTACAATTGTAATCTGTAAGCTACTTTCTAAATGTGCTGCCACTATAGTGTGTAATCTACATTCTAAATTACTATATCTGTAATGTGAAATCTATATTCTAACTGTGCAAAAACTGCTGTGTGGAAGCTACTTTTCTATTGTGCTACAAGACTCCTAAATTAGCAGCTATATTTTAATTGTGCATATAACATTATAAACATTGAACATTGGGGGGTAGTCGAAGAAGAGGAGGGCAAAGAAGAACCTGAAATGACAACATGAAGAAATGTACAGGACTAAGTTATCACAAACTTATTCATCAAGCGGAAGACAGAGAAAGATGGCAAGTTTTATGTGCTAGTGCTTTTATCAATACACCTCCCTAATGGGTCAAGGGTTATGTTATGTTATAATATTATTATAAGATGTCAATTATAAGAGTCCTAACATTACTGTGGTGGCTACATTCCAATAATGGTACATAATACATGTCTTAGATTTTAACTCTACAGCAGAGACTCTACTATACAAGCTAAATTCAATTTCTACAAGACTCTTTTAAAGTTACAAATACCCATGCAACATGGAGTATTTAGCAAACAACAGACTTTGCAAAAGTACTCACATAGCAATAAGATGAGCTGAGTTCAATACATCCTTGAATAAAAGCTCCAGTGTGCCCTTAAACTTGTAAAACTGAGCCAGGTTGCTGAAAGGAGGATAAAATCAGATAGGTGAAAGTGCATCTACAGAAACAGTTTCTTCTATGTATGTCATGTCATAACAGATGATAGCAGAAGTGAAAAAGATATTAAAAGGAGAACAGGAAATTCCCCCCCCCCCCCCCCCCCCCCCCCCACGCCAGGATAGCAGCCTAAAAGATTGACAAACCTTGACTCAATGAGCACTATTTGGATGTGAATCAAACGGGAGCAAATCCAAGAAAACCTGCTCAACTGTATCATCATCATCAAGTGCTTGCCGCCTGGTGTGGGTGATCATGCCTCTCCACAATCTGCAATCCACAACTGTGTGTATCAGTTCATGTGTTGACACCCCTCCAAGCCATGACAAAAAAACAGTCAAAAATCTTCTTGCGCTGTCTTCCTCTGTCTCTCTTTCCACAGATTTTTCCAGTGGGCACAACATGTTCCATTTTCCCTCTTGTCATAACATTACCAAAAAATGATGAATGTCTCTTTCTGATGTTTGTGATAAGTTGTCTTCGAGAACTCACACCTTTCAAAACATCTGGGTTGCTCTTTTTAGCTGTCCATGGAATTCCCAGAATTCTTCTATGAAACCACATCTCCGGGGCCTTAAGATATTGTTTGGCTTGTTTATTAATTGCTCAACTTATACATCAGTTATAGTGGGGTATCCTATGGTTACAAAAATGCAGGGATGCCAACAATGTACTTTCTACTGAAGCAAAGACACCTGCAGTGGTTGGGACATGTCTCTCATATGGAGGATTGTCAAATTCCGAAGGATCTCCTGTATGGTGAACTGGGAACAGGGATAAGATCTGCAGGAAGGCCAAAAGTGCACTATAAGAACATGTGTAAAAGTGACCTGAAAGATACCAACATTGACATATTATATATATAATTAACAAAGAGACAATGTATTGATCGGCACTCACAGAAATAAGTAGAGAAACAGAAGGTCACACAAGACAACATAAAAATGGAAAGTTAGAGTTACCATGCCGGGAATCGAACCTGTCATCTCCAAATGGTGTGCGAGCCCCGCTATGGAAACAACCCTACTAAGAATACAACCAACTAGGCACCCCCCCCCCTCCAAAAAAAAAGGTGCCACACTGGCATGTCTATCGTACAGCTTGAAATCCACAACTATGGAATACAGACAGAATTCATCTCAAACCATTTAAATGGCACCATAGGTTACAGAAATTTATAAGAAAGCATAGGTTGAATAACAAACACAGCAACAATTAACAAGATCAGCAGACTGTAATGCTTTGTCTAGAATACACAAACATTTTAAGAAAGAGATCTTAATGATTGGTTCCATTGCATTACACATCATTCACATAAGTTGGTTCAATTGTGTTACACATGATTCACATAAATTATGTGAACAACACTAACACAGACACTTTGGAGAGATCAACTGCTGACAAACTCCTTTGGAGGTAGACAGTGAAATATGGAACGATCACACTTTAAAAGAAACCAAATGCAGCAAACTACAGAGAGAAAACAGCTGAAATGAAAAACCAGCCTCAAAATAACAGAGCATTAACATGCTGCTGCTGCTGCTGCTATGATTACAAAGTATCTTGCTGTCCAATGTAGGCGGTCTGTGATCAACATGAAAATAACACGTTAAAAGATTACCAACACATTAAAAATGAGAATTTAATGCTTTGTTCCCCGTGTGGGTTTCCTGGGCTCAGTTTTGGAGAACAAAGAATTGACCCATTGCCTTCTCATCATCCCCCTCCCCCCACCCTCCCAACAAGCATATCTCAGGAGGTGACTAGTTAGGAGTGTTTCCTGCAAAGTTGGAGTGCACCTGCCTGAGAGACAAGGAACCAACAGTCTGCAAACAAATAAGTCAGATCTGTAAAACGGATGTGCACGCAAAACCCAAGTTCTGGATCAAGACCCAAGTCCAGAAGTAAAACTTTCTGCCAGAGTTTACAGCTGGTGAATGCTAAGAAGAAGAAGAAAGCAGGGTACAATCTTTGGCACAATCAAAATGTGAGTTCTGAGGCCTAATTGTGGGGGGTGGGGGGAGGGGAGAAAGAATAGAACCACCCTACGCCCCTCCCCACCAACAAGCATGTTGGTTTGCGGAAATCACATGTGTTGGGCAATAAAGCGCAGATATGGCAGCCTAGCTGTAAACCACAACATCATAAAATGCAAGCCACCATTTGAAGGAGGAAGAAGATATGAACCAAAGATCTTCATAATGTTCCGACTGTGATGTTTCCCTCACCTAGCCATTAAGCTGAGTGCACAATGCGAAACTTGAGCTGCACATTTTATTTGGAATGCTTTTCAGCTGTGCCTAACCTGGTTTGTGCTGTGAACCGCAAATTCAGAAAATGGCAAGTGACCTGTTGCCAGATAAATTGTAGTGCCTTTCGCGATTAACTTCATATGCAACATCTGATCTGTTGCAGTTGCTACTTCCATCAACAGTGATTTGTAATTCTTATGCCGGACTGTTTGTGTTGGCACTTCTGATAGCTGCCTTATGTATTTAATGTGTGTGCATGCTACTGGCTTTGCCAAGACTGTGCCAACTTTTTCACAAGGGACAGTGATTGACATTCTGTGCGGTTTTCGCTGGGACAGAAACAGAGCAACTATGGCATGAATTGTTTGCTAAGAAGTTGCAACTGCAACAACCTGTGATAACTTGATAATGGACATCAACTTCCATCAACAGTGATTTGTAATTCTTATGCCGGACTGTTTGCGTTGGCACTTCTTATGTCTGCCTTATGCATTTAATGTGTGTGCATGCTACTGGCTTTGTCGAGACTGCAGTCTGTGCAGTGATGGACATTCTGTGCGGTTTTCATTGGCACAGAAGCAGAGCCAGCAACTATGGCGTGAACTGTTTGCTAAGAAGTTGCAACTGCAACTACCTGTGATTACCTTAATGACAGACATCAGAAAAATAATCCTGCTGGGAAATTAACCCGGACCTCTGTCTTGGAGGCAAGTGCACAAACCACTATGCCAGCGATCTCAAAATCAACATTTAGAACTCTCTATACCATCAACTTACAGAGTTCTATTAGAATGGGAACAAAAATGTTAATAAAAATATCAAGTTACATATTTTTACAGAAAAGGAACAAGACTTTTTTTTTTAAATATCAATTTACATAATGCTACAGAATATGAAGAAAACTGTTCATAAGACATCAAATTACACAGTTCCATAGAAAAGGAATGAGATTTTTTATAAAACATCAACTTACACAGATCTTCAGAAAAGGAAAAAGAATGTTCATAGTTCATAAAACATCAAATTAAATAGTTCTACAGACTGGAAAAAAAAAATTTAGAAAAAAACAACATCACCTTACATAGTTTGACAGAATGTGAACAAGGATTGTCATAAAACATGAACTTACAGATTTCTATAGAATGGAAACAAAAAATCAACAACAAAAACACATACAGACATGCATATTTTTGTAAATCAAGAACTTACAGAGTGCCATTCTGAATCAGCCCGCCAGTTATGTTCTCTCCGTTGGCTCGTTGCAAGGTGAACTGTCCCGATGAATCAGTCAGAGCTTTGGACGAGTCCAGGGCATCGGCAAATATGCTTGGGAAGCAGCGCCCGATAACTGAGAATAACAGGCAAACTCACATTATCAACTGAAATGAACTAGAAATATATATATATCAACCTGGTGGGGATATGGTAGCATACCCGTGATCTGTCTACTGTCATTGCCGCAACAGTAGTAGTGGTAGAAGTAGAGGCAGCAGCAGGAATGGCTCTTGTAACAGTCATTGTAGTAGTAAGAATAGGAACATAAGAATAGGAACAGTTGTAACAGTATTTATATAGTAGAAGTTGAAGTGTATGTAGTAAGTGTTGAGTTGAGTTAGCCATTTTGCCCTGCTAACACTAAAAAATGGGTCATGAACTCAAGGGAATTCTCAAAAAAATAATTTTAAAACAAAACTTTTACAATGTTCACTAATAAATGTTTAAAATTTATTTCTATACATTTTTAAAGACTTTTTTTTTTTTTAGAAATATACAAAGAGTATATAATAAATAAACATGAACAGAGTGAAGCATGAAATGGAATCCATTCCAAAGAGCCTTAAAAATATATGAATTAGGTGACCCTGTGACCTCTATCACTAAGACTAAAAGGCAAATCTGACATCAACCTGACTTTCAAAAAATCATTTAGTTTAAAGGAAACCCTCATAAATGCTTAATATAAATAATCATATCATGACCTCAAACATTTGAGCAAGAATGAACTCAGCTAATATCAACTATATATCTCATAAACAGTTCATTACAGAAAAGTCAGAAAAGTGACATTTAAGGGAATCTGAGACATTCCAGTTAGCGCTCCATCCTCAAATTTAACAAACAGCAAATAGTTTATATTCCAATGGTGACAGTAGTAATCTGATTTTATGTCTTTTAGAAGGTAAACCACATCAGAAGAAGTAAATATAGCTCATAGACCTTAATAATGAACAAGCTCACATGTTGAATGAGGAATCAACATCACAGCACTCGGGACACTCCTGTAAGTGCTCAGTCACATCTTCAGCAGCAAGCGAGTAGTTCCAGTTCTAATGGTACCAGTAACCATCTTATTGTATACACGTCTCATCCTTCCCCTGAGTATTGAGTATCGGCCAAATTCCCTGGTAACTCCTTTCAGCGCCATTACCCTTAGACCATAATGATCTATCTGTGCCTCCTCACTGTTCACCCATTCAAAAAGGGCCATCACAATATCTACTAACTTGTCATACACATGAAAAGTGGCAAAGATACTGTTGCAGAGGCCGTTTTCGTGGTAGATATCATGTCAACCACCTTTACTTCCAAGGTCCTTCCCTGGTACCCATTATAGGCTAGGTCACCTTGAAAGCCCTAGGACAATTAAACTACTTAATTTTATTCGAACCCATGACACTCTGCATTGACAAGCAAGCATATGGTCATTATGCTGTCATGGATCCTTTTCCTAATGTGTAAGAAGGAACCCTTGGAGACTAGCTGTTGACTTGCTAGTTCATGAAGGAAACACAACTGATAACCTGAGCATATGAAACTGATTACAATAAAGAAGGAGAAGAAGAATATCACAGCTTACTTGGCTTTGAGCTCAGCTGATATGCAGCACACAAGTTTTTCTTGACAAGCTGTTCAATATCCATCTGAAAATAGACACAATCATCATCAGTCTTGTAGACAACATGAAGTCAGCCAAAGTTATTCATAAATAGTTTATCATCAATTTGCCCTTGTGCTGTTAGGCGTTGCTGTGAGAAACAGCTTGTGGGTAGCAAATTGCTATCATCATTGGCTGTCAGTGTAGTAGGTCTTTAATGTTAACTTCTAGGGTGAATTTTTGCTTTCAGATCAGACTCTGTCATGTGTAGTGCCTGTGTTGATAGCTGTGGCTGCATTATAACCAGATAATCAAACCATCTGTTTCTCAGTCTGGTGCATGGTGTTATTCCGACAGTATGTCTGAGAGTATCATCTCTCACTCTGACTCGGATGGTTAAGTTGGCCGCTTTCCTCAGGCATTACAAAAACAAACAAAAAACAACAAAAAAAGAAACAGATAACCATCTGAAATGCTAAACATGCAACTACATTTATCATTCAAAAAATATGTTCAGTATCAACTCATGAAAAACAGTCAGGGAAAAACCCAAACTGAAAAACAGCATTTAGCAACAGATATCGTTATTAACTTGTGTATTTGGGTCCTAACGGAACCGAACTTTTAATAACAATGACCTAGGCTCCCAGGTCAACTCAGGCTTGAGTGATTACCCTGTATAGTCTTGGGAAGTAAAGGTGGCCGGCGTGGTGCTAACCACATCACACATCGAGTGCAGATTGGTGTTATAAATATTGGTCTAGCTCTATATGCTTAATACATCTGAAGGCGTAGAAAAAGGATCCTTTTTTTTACTTACTTTTAGTGATTAACTCTATCAGAACCAACTCATCATGCACTGACAGTTTACTTTGTGCAAGCTGTGCTTTTCTTAACGCCTTATTCCACATCCAGCCCATACACTAAACCCTTCTATCCTCAATTTTGCTCCAATTCATTCTGATCTTTAAGACTATTATCGAAACCCATTCAGACCCAGGCATGTGGCACTCCAATGTTTGTCATGTAATGAGTAGCTATGGCCTGAAAGAGTTGAACAGTTTTTTCTGTTGTTGTTAAAATAATCCTTCTTCTGCGTTTATCTAAAGATGTAATTGCGTTACAGTATGGCTGCCATATTTGCACCTTTTGGTCGATACATCCGACTTCTGCAGGCAATGTTTGGCCAGGCTGGTTAGCCTCCCTTGTTGTATTTTTAGATAACCCAAACAAGTGTTCTTCAACCTGCAGTCCACGGCGCTGGTGGCCTGCGAAAATGTTTGAGTTGGCCACCAAAAAAGTAACGCATTCCGCGCTGATTACTACCCAGCCTAGTCCCTCCCCCACCCCAACACCATTTTTAGTAACTATAATCATATACTCCTGAACAAAACAAAAAAAAGAATGGAGAAACAAGGGGAGTAGAAGGAACAGGAGAAATGATAAACAAGGAGGAGCAGAAGAAGAAGAGAAACAATAACAATAACACAGAAAAGGAGGAAGACAAAGAAGCATAAAAAGAAAAGGAGGAAGAAGAACAACAAGAATAACAAAAACAGGACAAAAGAAAAGAGGACCAACAACAAGGAAGAGCATGGTAATTAAGAAAAGGAACTTTTTTTTTTTGGAAGTCAAAAAGAAAAAGAAGTAAGAAATAAGATGCAAAAGAAAACAACAAGGAGAAGGACACAGTGTATCTAATTACAAGGTGTGAATTACCTCCTTGTAGGGTGAAACAGTTGGTTCAACTCCATACTTGCAAATCAGTCGGGACCTGTTGCCCTGCAGGTAGACATGGTTCTCTGTTGGGCAGGTTTTCACACACACCTGAAGCAGAAACATAAAACACCTCACATTAGTGCATTGATACCAGAAGCCAAAGTTCAAGTCCAGACATCCCTTACGTTGCACCCTTCTTATTTGCGTCACTTCAAAAGAGCGTTAACAATCACCATATTCATTAGCTGGACTTTTTTTTCAAAATACAGGTCTAGCCTTATATGCCCAAAGGCATGGAAAAGGGCCCTTTACTTTTATAATATAATCATGTGCCTTGCCAGATTACCTAGACATTGGTTTGTTTCTCTAAACCTTTTTATTGCCACGATTCTTTACTACAGCTCCTCATGTTGTGGTGACAATGTATATATAATATTATCATGATTCTCTTCCTGATTAAATTGTAATTTGTTGAATTCTCTTCCAAAGCACAGCACTATTAATTCCATATTGTTTCTTCCATTCTGTGCAAGCACAATGTAATTCATGTGTTTTCTTTTTCCTCATAATTCTCCATGTTTTTTATCCTTACAGTAGTTCGCATTAAAGTTAAATATTCCTTTTCTGATGCTAGGTTTAATTTCTTTTAACCTCTACAGTCTTTCTAGTGATATGAAAGCTCCGCTCCTTTTGTCTTTTGTATTCTTCTTTTTAAATCGTCGTCCCCTCACCCCCATTTTGGTCTTTTTACGAACTAAATAGGAAATACACATACTAATGCGACTATTTTCTTTCAATCTTCTTTGAGTTCTCAATTCCATACCAAGTCATAAACATATTTTATTTTGACTCAGAGCAAACAAGCAATGATTTGACCTAGTTTCCTAGTTCATCTGTTTTTCCCATTTTTTGCCTCTCGACACCTGGATATGAAGTGAGTTCTGCAAGAAGTTACGACACACACCTCATAAACTCTGGTGCTTATTGCCTCCCTTATGCCATTAAACCTTCCCAGCGTGAGGAGAGACTATTAATATAAATGAGGGTCTGTGATGAAGTGATATATCTGGTCTGTGATGAAGTGATAAAGCTGGTCTGTGATGAAGTGATAAATCTATGTGTTTCATGCTCTGAATACTGTGAGCTTGACTTCAGACACTATCATTCAGTTTGCTAGTTCAAGTATTTTAGTGGGGGGAAAGGGGGGGGGGGTGTCTCTGGAGCTACAAAGTTTCATGCTTTATGAGTTCTCAGTAATCAAACAGGCTGCTCTGCTGAGGCGAGCAGAATTATTTGGGAACCAAACCTAAAGTAACGACAATTATAACTACAATTATATGATTATATGACAGGATGCTGTTTAGAGCCAATTCTCCCCAATGTTTAGATCATGTAGGATGTCATTTATTTTTTTTCTTTACAAATATAAATATTTAATAGTAGCTAGATTTCTAATGCTTATTGTGTGCCAGATTGTACAGCCTTTTCTTCACAGGATTTTTAAAAAAAAATGAGTTATGAGTAAGATTATCTTCACAGCACTCCGATCACATCCATAGGCACTCAGATTCCCCTCTCAACATATTAATCAGTGCCGCACGGTTAATAGTGCCAGTCCTATGTTGGTTAACAAGACTTTGTGTGTGCCCGGTGTGCTTCTCATGCTTGGCTGTGCCGATCTTTACTCCCAATTCTTGTATTCTTAGCAGTGGTGTAGACACGTTGCTTCCAAAATCCTCAGAACGTCTTATATCTCTAAGGGCAATGTCAATGTCTGCGTGATCCATCTTTAATTAATGCAGCACCTGCCAATCTATCAGCTCTTTCATTACCAACAACACCTGCAGCCTTGGGAAGAATATGGCGGTAACTGCACACACAGGAGAGTTTTGCAATGACTCAAACCACTGTCTGCGTAACCAGCCTGCCTTGACCCGCCGGATCATGCTCAAAGAATCACCCAGCACACACACTCGGGAATAGTCCTGGATTCTAGCCACATGAAAGCTTGTGTCAACACCATCATCTGCATCATCATGCTGCTGGTAGTCAGGGAGAAGGCAACGCTTACTTCTTGAACTCTTCTGCCTGAAGAGCAAGCTGTAAATGCCCATGCACTCTTATATCTTTGTATAACAGACCCGTCTGTGAAGATCACCACAATTGTGATCTTCATAGATGGTCCGTTATATGAGAAATTTCAAAATGAGTAATACGACAATCTGCGTCTGTGGCTTGGTGCGCTGCGAACATGCTTCGTAATGCTGGAGTGCCGGGTTCGATCCCAGCTGCAAGCCCTGCACCTTGGGTTGGTTTCGACAGTGGTATCGAGAGCCGGCCGTCCAGAAAGCAATGGCAAACTACCGGATGTAAATTTGCCTAGAAAAACCACTACAGCTAAAAAAAAATGCTTGGGCTGGTTCTGCAAACTCCTGTAAAGCATACGCAACCAACTTTAACACGGCAACGGGACTTCCTACTGTCCAAGAAAATAGGGCTTTGGTCTACTACTTAGAGACCATAGGTAAAGCACTGCTTTTTTCTGGTGGTACGCAATGGTACATAGTACAGGCACCTTTTGTTTAAAATAGTGGGTGGGGGGTGGTCGTCATCTTCTTCCAATATAAATGTGTTGTGCCCGTTTACAGTATCGCTGAGATTTTTTGCCTTTCGACAGACAAATCCGACGCCTGCACACATTTGTTGAACTGGTTAGCCTTCCGGGAGATAAAGGGGCGTCTTATACACGGAAAAATATGGTAAATGGGCACAACACAATTAAGTCCTTAGATGAATGCAGAAGAAGGATAACAACTTATGCTCCATTGTGAGAGAAAGGCAGAAGAAGAGGAACTGTACATGACAACAACAAGAGGATACCTGTGGCGTAGGGCAACCAGTGACAACAGCAGGGCCCAACTTGGCACAGGTGACCAGATCAAAGAAGAACAGGTACGGCTTATCCCTGTGAAATAACATGTTATACCAGGTGAAAAAATACAATTAAGTCTGCACAATTACATTATACATTATTCAATGACACAAAAAGCCTCAAGACCTAAAGTAAAGTCATCTATTTCTTCATTTTACACTCAGATCTCCCTCAGAATGGTGGTTGACACAGCGTGTTGTGGTTTTCAGCTAGGTTGTGATATCTGCTTCTTTCGGCCCAACACATCTGATGTCAGCAAAACCCTGTTTAGGCCCTTTATGACATGCTTAGGGGCAGTGGCTATATTCTCTCTACCGCCCCCCCCCCCCCCCTCCGCACCCTCAATGGGGCCCAAGAACCCACACAGGAAAAGTCTGTACAATAACAACATTATAAATTATCAACATCATCAGCATTATATTAAGAAAAGTCCGCCTGAAGACTTATGTTAAAGTTATCTGACAATCAGACTCCAGTATCCTAATTTACAGCAATTTTCAGATAAGCACTGTCTAATCTAAACCCCAGTGTTGACCACAGGAGAAATCTAAACCCCCAGTGTTGACCACAGGAACAATCTAAACCCCCAGTGTTGACCACAGGAACAATCTAAACCTCCAGTGTTGACCACAGGAACAATCTAAACCCCCAGTGTTGACCACAGGAACAAATCTAAACCCCCAGTGTTGACCACGGGAACAATCTAAACCCCAGTGTTGACCACAGGAACAATCTAAACCCCCAGTGTTGACCACAGGAACAATCTAAACCCCCAGTGTTGACCACAGGAACAATCTAAACCCCCAGTGTTGACCACAGGAACAATCTAAACCCCCAGTGTTGACCACAGGAACAATCTAAACCCCCAGTGTTGACCACAGGAACAATTTAAACCCCCACAGGAACAATCCCCCCCCCCAGGAACAATCCCCCAGGAACAATTTAAACCCCCCCAGTGTTGACCACAGGAACAATCTAAACCCCAGTGTTGACCACAGGAACAATCTAAACCCCCCAGTGTTGACCACAGGAACCATCTAAACCCCCCAGTGTTGACCACAGGAACAATCTAAACCCCCAGTGTTGACCACAGGAAAAATCTAAACCCCAGTGTTGACCACAGGAAAAATCTAAACCCCCCAGTGTTGACCACAGGAACAATCTAAACCCCAGTGTTGACCACAGGAACAATCTAAACCCCAGTGTACCACAGGACCAAACCCCAGTGTTTGACCACAGGAACAATCTAAACCCCAGTGTTGACCACAGGAACAATCTAAACCCCAGTGTTGACCACAGGAACAATCTAAACCCCAGTGTTGACCACAGGAAACAATTTAAAGGAACCCCCCAGTGTTGGACCACAGTGAACAATTTAAAATCCCCCAGTGTTGACCACAGGAACAATCTAAACCCCAGTGTTGACCACAGGAACATCTAACCCCCAGTTTGAACCCAATCTAAACCCCAGTGTTGACCACAGGACAATCTAAACCCCCAAGTGTTGACCACAGGAACAATCTAAACCCCCCCCCCACAGGAACAATCTACCCCCAGTGTTGACCACAGGAACAATCTAACCCCCAGTGTTGACCACAGGAACAATCCCCCCCCCCCCCCCCCCGTGTTGACCACAGGAACAATTTAAACCCCCCAGTGTTGACCACAGGAACAATCTAAACCCCCCAGTGTTGACCACAGGAACAATCTAAACCCCCAGTGTTGACCACAGGAACAATCTAAACCCCCAGTGTTGAACACACGAACAATCTAAACCCCCAGTGTTAAACCCAATCTAAACCCCAGTGTTGACCACAGGAACAAACCCCCAGTGTAACCACCAATCTAAACCCCAGTGTTGACCACAGGAACAATCTAAACCCCCAGTGTTGACCACAGGAACAATCTAAACCCCAGTGTTGACCACAGGAACAATCTAAACCCCCCAGTGTTGACCACAGGAACAATCTAAACCCCCCAGTGTTGACCACAGGAACAATCTAAACCCCCAGTGTTGACCACAGGAACAATCTAAACCCCCCAGTGTTGACCACAGGAACCCCCCCAGTGTTGACCACAGGAACAATTTAAACCCCCCCAGTGTTGACCACAGGAACAATCTAAACCCCAGTGTTGACCACAGGAATCTAATCTAAACCAATCCCCCCCAGTGTTGACCACAGGAAAAATC